ACTTATATTATTAAAGCTAGGTATAATAGTAAGGTTAGTTCTATTATACTACTTAGGTACTACTTAAGTAAAGTAAGTATTATACTAGCTATATTATAGTTAGTAGTAAAGATTAGTAGCTTACTTTATATACTTTATTAGTAAAACTAACTTTATATATATCCTTAGAAGTACTAGCTATAAGCTAATAGCTTATTAGGTGCTTAGTTATAGCTTAGTTAAGAGAAAAGAAATATATTACTCCTTTAGAATAGTATAAAGTAGCTTTATCTTTAGTACTTTATATTTTATAAGGAACTAGTTAAGGCTTTAGTTAGGCCTTTAGTAAAGGTAGTCTAGCTATAAGGTTACTATAACTATATAGTTACCTAGGTCTAAAAGCTTATTATATAGGAAATCTTTAAAATCTCCCTATATCTTAATTACTTACTCTATAGAGCTATATTCTTTCTTAGTTAAATATCTTATTTATCTCCTCTTTATATAGCCCTTAAAGTAGCTTATTATATATACTATTTTAATATAGTTATTATAAAACTACTTTATATATAGTATAAAGTATATATAGTAGTTAAATAAAAAAACCTAGAGATCTTTATATAATTCTTTATTATATAATAGTATAAAGAGAAATAAAGGTTAATATAGGTGTAAACTATTATCTAGTTTAGTGCTTAAGAGAATTACTAGGCTATCTTAAGCCTTACTTTAGCCTTAAGGTAATAGCTTACTATTTATACCTATTATATAGTTAGCTCTAGTATTAAGAGTATAACTACTACTTTAGAGCTATAAGAGCTCTTTATACTAATAGTAAATTTAAGTCTCCTTATAGGTAATCTTAAGCTTTTCCTTTAGTTATTACTTTTTCTTTACTAATATAGTAAGTCTATAAGATAAGCTATAGCTCCTTAGGGTACTTCTTTTTATAAGTAAAAAAGGTAAAAGATAACTAGTTAAGTTAGTTATAGCTTAGGTACTACTACTATTATACTTAGGTGTAACTACCTCTTAGGTTATATAATAGGTATTTATAAGTATATTACTTACTAGGCTAGTTATTTAAGTAAAGCTTTTAGACTATAAAATAATAGTAAGTAACTAAGGTAATAAGTAAATACACTATAAGTATAAAGATAGGTATATAGTATTACTAAAGCTAAAAGCTACTTTTTTTTTTTCTTTTTTTCCCTTAAGTATTCCTAGTGTATATATACTTACTTTACTTCTATACGCCCTCTAAGTATATAATCCTCTTATATACCCTATATACTTATACTATATACTTTACTTATTTAGTGTTATATAATACTTAACCTACGCTTAGCCTATTTAGCCTATTTATCTTTAATATAATTAGTATAGTAAATAGTTAATATAACTACTATAGCCTAGGCTACTACTATAGTAGCTTAGGAAGTTATATAAGAATTAGTAAATAAATAGATAGGTATAGTAAGGCGCTTTTATATTAGTAATAAAGTATAGTTATCTATATAAAACTATTACTCTCCTTAGCTAAATTAGAAACTTAACTAGCTATACTATAAGTATTAGGTTACTAAGGTTATTACCTCTCTAGTAGTAAAGTTAAATATACTAGGTAATATTTATAACTACTTCTATATTAACTTACTATACTATACTATAGATAACCTTTTACTAAAGTAGTATATTATTAATATATAACCTTTACTAGTTATTAAGGATAAAGAAGAGGAATAGTAAGTAGCTAAAATCTTAGGCACTAAGTAGTATAAGAAATATAAAGTAAAAGAGTAATAGGCGTTAGTATACTAGAAAGGCTATATAAAGCCTACTTAAAAGCTTATAGAGTTAATAAAAGACACTATAGCCCTAGATAACTATAAAAATAAATATAGGCTAATTAATAAAGATAATAAAAGTATAAACTATATATAGAAAAAATAAAAAAAATATAAGATAAATAATTCTTTATTTAACTATAGCTAATAAGTTAAATTAGACCTCTAGAGAGGCTATAATAGTAGTAAAGTAAAATAATACTAAGGTGCCTTAAAAGTATAAGGGAGACTACTTTACTAGTAGTCTCCTAGATTAAGAGATATAAGGTAGACACTTTAGGTATAAATAAAGTTAATAAACTATATAAAAAAGTAACTAATTAGTACTATATTTATAAAATAAATAGTTTAATAAGTACTTATAGTAGCTAAAAAGCTAGTAATACTCTCCTAGGCTATAATAAGCTATTTAGCCTAAGTAGTTATAAACCTACCTAGGCTAGGCCTACTAGATAAAAAGATAGTAGTATTAGTAGTAGTAGTAGTAGTAGTAGTAGTAATAGTAGCTAATATAAAGAAAAGAGGTATAGCTATAGGCTATACTATAGGTGTATTAGGCTATACCTTAGATTTAGCTTACTTATATAAGTGTATACCCTTAGTGCTCTTTTAAGCTATATAGGTAGCCTACTACTTAGTGTACACTAAGACTAACTAGGCCTTAGTAGTAGTAGTATAAATACCTTAAAGAGCTAAGTTTTTTATAAAGCTACTAGTAATAGTAGTAATAGTAGTATTTATAGCTTTATAAAAAGCTATAAAAGTAATAAGTATTTAAGAAAAAAGATTAGTATAGAAAAAAGTAGTAAATATAAAGAAAAGTAAACTTATACCTTTAGAATAAAGTTAATTACTTAATATATAAAAAGTATAATAAGTACTACTAAATACTATATTTTTAGTATAATAAAGTACTATAGAGTCCTTAGCTAAGTAGTTAGTATATAACTAGTAAAAAGAACACTAAATAGTACTTACTAAAAGGTAGACCTTCTTTACTATAAGTAGTATAAGAGAAAAAGACTATTTTTAATATTAGTTATAAATCTATTATAATATAGGCGTAAGTTAAATATATAGACTAGTATAATAAAGGTATACTTAAGGTTAATAATAGTAATAAAGTCTTAAGAATAGCCTTCTTTTTACTTATAAGTAAAAGGCTTTAGCTAAAAGTAAAAGGCTATAATATAATAAGTTAGTAATAAATTAATAATAAGTCTATATATATATATATATATATATATATATTTATAAAGATAACTTACTAGTATCTTTTATTTTTAATTATCTTTAATTACTAAAGACTATATTAGTAAAATAATTACTTTATAATAGTAATATATAGTAGTAAAAAGGATACTTATAATACTAATAAAGAAGCCTAAAAAAGGAAAAAAAAAGAGGAAAACTAATAACTAAATTATAGTAAGTAATAACTATAGGTTTAATTTTAAAGGTTATATAGAGTAAAAAGGCTAGTAAGGCCTAGAGGCTTTATTTTCTTAGGCACTAAGGGGGAAGAGGGCATATATTATAGGCCAAAGCTACAGTAAGTGTAGCAAGGCTTTGCCTACTATAATGTATAAGGCTAGTAAAGTAGGCGTGTTTAGTTAACGCTTACTTAGTGCCCTTATTTAACCTTATATACATAAGATATATACTACTATAAATAACCTTTTTTCCTTAGTCTAGATTAATTATATTAAGTTACTATACGCCTTTTAGAAGGCAGTGCTAACCCCTTATAAAAATAAAACCACTTTAAAAGTTTTTTTCTCTCTTTATATAATAAATAATACTCTATATACTCTCTATATTAATCTATATATTAACTCTATTATTATAATTATAGATATAGTAAGGTATTAAATATTAAACCTTAGCTTCTTATAGCCTGTTTTAGCTTATAATAGCTTATTTTATCTAAGTTAGGTAACCTAGTTAAAAGTACCCTAGATTAACTTATATAGTTACTTTGTCCTTAACCTATTAATATTATAAGTTAACTAAAGTATAAGAAATAGTATAGCTATACTAGATATAGCTAGTAGTTTTAAAGACACTTAGGGCTAGGTATAGGCTACCTAAAGTTATATAATTAGAAAAGAGTTTATAGAGGGTTTAAGGCTAAGCTACTAAGAAAGGCCCTACTATAGTCTTCTTTTCCTCTTTATCTTAGAATCTTTACTATAGGTAATACAGTCAAGAGTTATCTAACTATAGTTATTACTGCTATAACACTTATTAGTCTTACTAGTAGTAAAGTAGAGCTACTCTAAGGTTACATAACCTACTTTAGTTACTTATCTTTAACACAGTAATATCAACAGCAGTAGCTACTTTCTTCTTCCTCTTCTATAATAATCAATCAACAACAGCAATAAATAGCCAATATACACTATTGCTGCTATTATTTGATTGCCTGTGATACCAACAGTAGCTTATTACCTGTATAACTCGACTACAGACCCTACTAGTTGACCTGAATGGATCCATCATCCTCCTGAGGCCCACCCATAGAATATGTGTTTCCTAGGCCAGCTCTACACTATTCTTAGTCGCCATGGGCAGATTATCAAGAAGCACCAGTCTCAAAGCTTGCCGACAACAGAATATTCGCACACTACACAGCATACGCTGTTCAATCCGTGTTTGTGTACCTCATCCAATGCGGGGTCTCCGTCCTGAGTGACTAGGAGTCACGAAAGCTGCATCTGGCCCCTGCATTTAATCAAGGTGCACCGCCTACATCACTATGCTTTTTGTTTCCAAACTTCTTAGTTGCAACTGTATATTAACAACCTTGCGTCAATATCGCTAGCCAAAGCTTAAATGGAATTAGTGGAGCCAGACAGGCCATTTTTGCTGTTAATTGTTAACGTCAAAGTTTTCATCTAGATTAATGATAATCTTATTCCCTCTGTAGTCTGGCACTCTGCTCCTAATACGGAACTTAAGCTGGTTTGCCACTCGTAAATGCCTGTCATTCTGACTTCCGGGTCGTCCGGCCGTCTCAGCATAGCACGGCACTTTTAAGAAAGTCCACTTGGCCCTAGGCAACGTCTTGGTAGAGGTAGGTAGATCAATTTTTACAGCCATGAGTCTCAGAGAACACTCTTGCATTATCTTCTCTTGAGTATTTCCCACTACGTGCCGCACAGCTAACCAATCCCTCATACGGCGTGCGCTCGTCAGTACCACTCGATTCAATTACAGTTACTCCTTGCCCTTTTGCGTTTTCACATCATGAAGGTCAATCAGCTCGCCTTGCCTGCCTGGGCACTCCTGCTTTTTCAGGCTGCAGCGAAATCTTTCGCCGCGGCCGAAATCGACGTCGACGTCGCCATCATTGGCGGCGGCAGCGCCGGCATCCACGCCGCAATCCACCTCATGGACGACGGCGCCAAGATCGCCGTTATCGAGAAGAAGGGCCAAATCGGTGGCCACGCCGAGACCTACGTCAACCCGCAGACCAAAATTCCGGCCAACGTCGGCGTCGTCGTTTTTGAGAACACGGAGATTGTCAGCAACTACTTCTCCCGCCTCAACGTTTCGACCATCAAGTCCAACCCGCTCAACAGCGCCTCCACCGCCGCGGCCAAGAGCTACGACTTCTCGCTTGGGAAGCCCATCCCCGCGCAGAACGCCTCTGCCTCGGCCGCGCAGCAACAGGCTCTTCTCGCCGCCGCGGAGGCCTACTCGACTAACGTGCTGGCTGCGTACCCCTGGATCGACCAGGGCTTCCTCGTTCCCGACCCCGTGCCGGAAGAGCTCACGATCCCCTTTGGGAAGCTTGCTGAAAAGTACAACTTCACGGCGCTCTTGAGCACCATTGCCCAGTTCAACTGGTGGACCGGAGACGTCGCAACGATCCCGGCGCTGTACGGCATCAAGGGTCTTGGACCCGGTCTGCTCCAGAGTATCTTTGGCGAGTTCATCGTCCCCGCCAGCGGTGATACCCGGGCCCTGTACGACGCCGCCGCCGCGAAGCTTGGTGACAGCGTGCTGCTCAACTCTGACATTGTTGAGGTCAAGCGCGACGTCAAGATCGACAATATCACCACCTCGGGCGTCACTGTCCTCGTCCAGCAGCCAAACCAGCCCGAGAAGCTCATCCGCGCCCGCAAGCTCCTCATCGCCATCCCCCCTACCCTGGAGAACATGGCCAATTACGACCTCAGCTCGGAAGAATACGCCCTCCTCTCCAAATTCTCCGCCCTCGGTTACTGGGCCGGCGTTGCCACAATCCCAGGGCTGAACAACAGCCTTACCAACATTGGTGTACAGGACCCCTACAATCAGCCCGTCATCCCCGGCACAAACGGCTTCAACGCGGCCGGGTCCCCCGGCGACTTTTTGGTAGGTCTCGCCTTCCAGGATACAAACTACACCGAGGCGGATGTCAAGGCCATCCTTGTTAAGAACCTGGCTACGCTTGCCGCCGTCGGCGCCGTTCCTCAGGACGCCGCGCAGACGGTCACATTCCCATATGGCTCGGATCACGGGCCCTTCAACGTCCGTGTGTCGGCCGAAGAGATCCAGGGAGGGTTCTATGGCAAGCTGCTTGCTTTGGAGGGCGCACGTAACACGTACTGGGCTGGCGCGGCTTTCGCCAGCCACAACAGCGGGCTGGTGTGGACGTTCAACAATGGAACGGTTTTGCCAGGTTTGAAGAAGGATCTTGGTCTGTAAATGGAAATACAATCTTATCCGCACGGCAAAAAAGAAAGAAAAAAGAAATTAATAAATAAAAAAGGCTGGAAGCTTAATATAGTTCTTTATAATATAAGTTGCCTTCTTGTAATCACCTGGGGGACTCCATCCTACCGCAGGGTAGTTTGGCGCTCGTAGCGGGCCCTAGCGCTTACTCTACATAGTACATGGTAGGCTGATCTCCACCCTAAGCGGCCTGGCGCCTAGTTGGGCTGATGCTAGCGCGCAGATAATCGGTGTTGAGTCTCGCCCTTATTGACCCCCACCTGTTCCTGCATTGTAACGCCACGTAACACTTGTCCCGCCGCCCCACGAACTCAGCTCCGAGTTTTTCCAGGCACGTCAACACAGCAATCGACTCTCTGCGTTCGATTCTACAAGATCAACATCTATCTACTCGGGTCTGAGGATATCCTCTATCACCAAGAGTTGTTTTGTCTGTAGCGCCATTCACTGCTCACGGTCTGATTTCTTAGCCGCTGCATGCTAAGATGTATGCAGCCAGGCCGGGCAAACTCACACACAAATTGACAAGGACGCACGTCGAGACGGAGACTACCCGCATGGGTTTCTGGGATACGTGTATTTCAGCGATGGTGCAAACGTTATAGACAATCACGGGAGCCTGAAAATCGCTCAATCGGGGCGTAATAAACTATCTTATTCCAACGATCCTTGGACGACTTCGAGAATAAGAAGATGCTGAATTGCTTTATTTGAAAGAAACCGCTCTGCAACCTAGCGCCAAGTCAGAGATTCAACCCAAATCATTACTACGTTCCATTATTGTCTTTACTACCAAAGAGCCTAACGATTTACTTCTATAACTCTCTAAGAGAAGTATATAATAAAATACATCTAAAAGGTGTTATAACTATTATAGATATTATAGACGAACTGGCCTTCCTGGCGATGGCAAATGTAGCACTAGCTAGCAAATTAGTTTATCTAGGTAAATTATGGCGCTCACTGGTGGGCTAAGTACCTAATGTAGCGGACTTAATGTCGTAGGTTACACAGGAGGAGGCTGCTAGGTACGTAGGGACTCAGTATAAGCAGGAGGATTGGGCCGCCGTTTGTCGGCTAGAAGATGCAAAAGATGCACATATTTCACTCAATCGTGCGGTCGAACCCGCTCAGTTTCAATGCAGCCTTTTTCTCACCAACCCTCTTCCATCTTCGGCAAGAACCAACGCTTCATCGTGGCACCGTCACAAGCAGGGCCATGGCTAGAGGGCCGGGTTGACCCAGCCTCGCACAACTTCGCATTCACCATTGAACCACCCATTCCTCCGATGTGACAGGCGAACGGCCTTCGACCACCATGCCAAGATGGCCGAGTCAAAACCGAAAATGAGATTCATCAGCACATACCTGGGCCCCCTACCGCCATTCAGCTCGTTCGTCCAGTGACAGACCGAGACTGGGAGAACTATCGAGATCTAATCACCGGGATCTACTGGGAGCAGGACAACAACTTAGACGTTGCAGTCGAAATGATGAAATCGAAACATCGATTTCTCGCCACGTAAGTCCCGTTCCTCTTTATGCATGTGCTTCAAGCCTAAAGCCTTGGCAGGGAGTGGCAGTACAAGCGGAAATTCAAGGATTGGAATCTCAGGAAGAATACCTCGACACATGAATCGTGGACTGTGATACGAATTCGACAGCGAAGGATAGAGCAAGAGGGGAAACTTACCATCTTCAGACTGAGAGAGCGGGAAGTCCCATCGGAGAATGTCAACCGATCTGCCAAGAGACAAAGGCTACGTAATGGTGAAGCGTTGCCAGTTTTGGGTGAGATGAGCGCTCGGCTTCGAATAGCACATTGCCAATTCCTCTGATTACTGACAAGCTTAGCGCCAACTCCCCCTGACCTCACGTACCATACACCCCTGTCAGCTCCGTCGTCAGAGGTCGTGGATGCTCCTGTGGTATTAGCGAGGCCCGGAATATTTACCTCCCCGCCGCATCTTGTACGATCTTCGGTCCGCGTAATTAAGCGTGTTGACGACATTGGCCACGTCGACCAAAATCTCATGACAAACGGGGCTACGCATCGCCCCTTCGATACACCGGCTAGCGAAAATGTGCAATTTTCCGGTCGGTCACTATGGATCTAGGAGTACGTCGACATCGAGCTTTCCGATCAGTTGCACCATTCACACTTTTCAGATGCTCTGAGAGACCCATTAAGAGCGGTTCCGTACCACGATTCCGGCCGCCGCTCGGTGTCTGCAATACTGCCAGAAAGGAGCGTGGATCTAGTCGCCACTCCAAAGGCTGATTACCACAACTCTGAGATGGGCCCAGGGACAATGGAAGAACGGATGATAAGAAGCCCCGGCACACGTCTTATCCTGATTGAAAATCGGAGTAATATTCATGATGGTATGGGTGTGGAGGAATTCATCACAACTGCCTCTCCCGCACCCTCTATGACAGACTCCGATGTCTATGCCACACCGATGAGTGTGGCCATTTACAGCCATGCCACTGGTTCGGAGTCAGATTCGGATGACTGCGCCACCCCAATGGATATCACTGTGGGCACCTTCTCCAACACTCCCGGCCAGATGCCGAGAACTGTGCAACGCCGATGGACCGCACCGTCGTCAAAACATTCTTTATTTCACAACAAGGAGCATATCCTGACAACAATGCAACGCCCAAGGATACGACCGCCGACGACTTGTCTGTCAGTCCAGAGTCAGAATGTGCGACGCCAATGGAGATGGCCATCACCGACTCCATCGCCGTTTCAGAAAAATGGTTCGACGATGAGATCCGCACATCCGACTCCTCGGTCTACAAACGCTCGGTCAAGCTTACTGCGAGGACTCGCATTTCGGGAGAGCCAATCAAGGCCATGGAAAACCGGCCACGGTTCGCAGCCAAGGCTGGCGGCCTCAAGGCTGTGGAAAAACTTCTGCGGCGAGGGGCGATGAATATCGACTTCAGGTCAAAGGCCGGCATGTCCGCTCTCTACCTGGCAACTTACCGCTGTCATTCCGAAGTCTTAAGATTCCCCTTAGACAAGGGCGCAATGCTCGACACTGTGAGTTCCAAAATGGATTTCCGCCTGGCTGGCCGAAACGTATCCATCTTGGATCCTCATCGATCTACCTGGCTGCCCTGAGGGGTCACCAAGAATGCACCAGCATCTTATTGGAAAGAACAAATGATTACACAGTTCTTGATCTTGAGGAGTTTGACGATATGGACGCTGAATTGGACTTGGACCTTCGGAGACCGCTGTTGAAAACGACCATGTGCAGCTTGCGGAATTGTCATTCGGTTTCGTGGAAAGAACTGGTTCAACAGATCCGACGAGGAGTATTACTATGGAGATGAGAATCTCATGACTATAGCCACACGAAATAATTTATTGGCATTGGTCGCGCTTTTCCTAGATCATAGGATGTCGCCAAACCTACAATACGGCGGCTATAGCGCAACGCTCCCCTAGGTCGCGTCAGCTAGGGGCCATAAAACTATTATTAATTTACTCCTTAAACATCATGCCAACGTAGACTTAAGCGATGTCAATGACGTATCCCCGCTAGATGTCGCAATTGCGGGAGGTCATGGAATTATCGCCAAGAAGCTGATCAACAGTGGCGCTTTAGCCAAGGATAGCGTTGGTCTTCACTTCGCCGTAAGAAAGGGCAATACAGACATGATTCAATTGCTTCTAGCACATGGGTGGAATCCCAATGCCCTCTACTCAATCAATAGGGTCGACCTCCACAATGGGTATATGGACTCTTTCCGCGACTTAATTACCTCTAAGCGCAACAACTCGGACCTAGATTAGTAGACCCCTTTGCATTTGGCTATCGATAAAGGATGCAAGGATATAGTTTCCATCTTGCTCCAAAACGAGGCAAGTTTAGTTTTCAACAAGGGTAAAGGCTTCATTTCCTCAGTCCGCATCGCCGTCGAACAAGGACATGCGGGCGTATTGCATAATCACGTCACAGACGTGGCTTAGACACCCTTGGGACACGCCACCTTCAATGGCAGCGCTGCCACAGTGAAAAACTTGCTTGGAGAAGGTTCAAACCCAGATCTTAATAGAAACAGTCGCCAGCCTCCTTTGCATATCGCCATTAACCACGGATAGCTAGAAATCTCAAACCTGGTTCTCGACTAAGGTGCTAGTGTAAACGCCCTTAACTCGCTTAGTCAGTCGCCGCTTCATAATGCTATCGCATTAGGCCACACCGAGATGGTAATAGTAGTGTTGGAAGGTGGTGCCGACGTCAACCTGTGTACCGAGAACGGTCAACCGGCTCTACACATCACTCTCGCCAAGATCACGGGGATTAGGGGTAGACAGGAATCCTCCGCCGCTTGCTTGATCGTGATGCTGACACAGCACTTATATCGCCGCGGGGCGGCGTATCGAATGATATGACAATCATCGTCAATCGTTTGATTGTAAAACGACTACGGTCAAAGCACAGTTCAATCGAAGACTGGCACCCGACGCATTTTGCCTCTGGCGTTGGGGACGAATCGGGGGTGCGGTCGTTGCTTCAATCTGCCAAGAAGGGTCAACATCTGGTGCGTATTAGATCGCCAACCGAGAGAGATGGGACGGCTCTGCATGTAGCCGCCCGTGCCGATCACCTAGGGGCTGTGAGGCTTCTTGCCAATCCGACAGACCAGCTACAACCTACGCGTATCATGGACTCAACTATGGACACGCCCTTCCACGTTGCCGTCAAAAGTTTCCATCTCGACATCGCGCGAGAGCTCTGCCGACTTGGAGGCATCGCCTACCAGCTGGAAAATAAGCGTGAGGAGTTTACGATATCTCATTATGCTTCTTCCATCGTCTTGTCATCTCGCCTGGCGAAGGCCTTACTGGAACTTATGTTCTGTAGTGCCCTGTATCTGAGGGACCATGGCCCAAGAAAGGGCCAAGCGGGCATCACAAACCACGTCAAGAATCGCTCCGCTGCCATCTGGATTCTTTGCAAGGATCATGAGAACGGGGCTATGGAGGCCGAATGGCGGAGGCTTGTGGCCCTCTCGTTGAGCAATCACAACGAAGTATTATTCAAATTCCCGGTAGAGATTATGCCTGATATAGAAGCTAGCCCATGCAGTCCAGAGGGGTATTCGCTGTTCTATTCTGAGTCTATCTACGACGTTTTTGGAGCCTCGGAAGGGTTGGGTATGTTACTGAGGGTTACTCTCCAGGCAGCGGGGTTAACTAAGGAGAACTGACTAGCGCCTACTGCCTCCGTGTTTAATAGTATCAGAAAGCCTTAGAACGCTTTGGAAACACCAAGAAATACAAGAGAGCAGCTTTTATATCTTAAAACATACTAAGACAGAAGAAGGCCATGGCGACCTGTAAAATAGTATCCAGCCCCAAGATGTCCCGTCTTAAGACATCCCTTCCCACAACAACTAGCCCCAAGAATTCTGTTAGCCCCGGGAAGACAAGACCGTAACAAACAACAAGCATCCAATCCAACTCAAGCTACTGATCGACAAGTGACTTTCGGTTAAGCAAGGCTTTGTACCCAAAGACCAATACTTCGACAGCTATGGCCCCTTTCAGGGCGCTACAGGTGATTCTTGTGTAAATGGAGTAGTGATTCCCTTGTGCCCTCTCTTTTGGAAACCATGCTGAACACGCAGAGAGTATTGTACAGCCAATACCAAATAGCCTTTTCGCTGATTCTTCGACGAAACGGTATACCTATCACCCAGACATTGGGAAAACCATGCCCTGCACTGCGGTGTCTACTTACCAACCTGGTTTCAGAGCCATGGCTATGCAGCTAAACGTCTGGACCGACTGCTTCTGAGAGTGGCTAAAGCTTGGCCTGAGAAGCGTCAAAAGAACAATCACGTGTGAACCAGCGGATTGGAGCCTCCCTGACTTGACACGATGCAAAGCTGCCGATCCTCTACGGCATGGTTAACTAACAGCTCTACATATCAGCACTCGAATCGTGGTGAAGCTTCCGGGGCGGGGCAGGGCAGACGTCGGCGCCAGCGCACCCGGCCACATCGTCCATCCGGCGCTTAGATGCCCCCAACCAGCTTCAACTCTCTAGGAAATTGGAGCTTAAACCCAAATTGTGGCTCGGCTTGCACGCCCGTGAGGCTCGCCCTATTCATACCTTTAATCTTGCTCTTGCATCTGTCCGTTCACATGATAACAAGCACCAGAGATGCACGGCGGCTCAGCTGGCCCATCGCAAAGCGTCGCTCGCTCTAAAAGTCTTGCTAGGGGTCCTGCTCTAGTCCTTCTAACAACATTTCTCAACCAGAAGCACCTCCAATCAGTTGTAGTAGCCATGAATGGGCTGTTCTGTTGACTCAGCCGTGGGTGGGATATGCCACATAATTCAACCGACAGACCTGTATGTACACTTCCTCTACCACTGCTAGTGCTCCGGCTACTTGTGAATTCTTGATGGTCTTGGCTCTCCTGGATGAAAGCTGTTGTCTCACCTATCCGCATGAGCAGACTTCTCTGCACGTCCTGGCTTGAGATATTCTAGAGTCGAAATGGGCAACGTTCGCAAGGAAATGCCAGCTGCATTTCTGGCATTTCTGACATGGATGTCGCTAATTACCCAAAGCAGGGAAAAACAATGACGCGTGCATCCGCGGCCCAAGGCCACACATTACAGGAAATAACGCGGCAAAGTGGCTGCAAAATGCTGAATAGTTACGCACATTGTCACTATCAATTGAACAGAGATCTACGGTCTATTATACGTACTTCAACACCTTGTGTCTCCCTCAAGCCTAACCTACCGGCATGTTATCCAAGTAGCTGCTTACGCGCGCGGCATGGCCTGGACCTTGGGTCGGTAACCATGAATCCCCCGTTTCACAGTGCCATGGCTAATTACGCGGATCCTGGGCGGACCCGGCAGGAGGAGACAGTATGGGTACCCCCTCTTCCGGAGGGGGGGGGGGGTCACCCGGCCCTATCAAATCACCCGAACTCCACCCCCAGACAATATGGATCTCCCGTCCCGCTCGCACATACTATGTAGGCACGTTGAAACCTGCCATTTGAACCTTTCTAAGCCTTTCTTCTAATTTGTTCTCCACCGTGGAGAAAGGTTCAGCCTTGGTTGGTGCTTATTTTCTGGCCTAGTGGTTTCAGCTTCCTCCAAAGAAGCAAGCATCATTTACCAAGTAAGCTGGTAGGTTGGTCATTTCTGAGTCGTCTAACTCACCTCCGACTCCAAGATCATGGTCAATTTGAAAACGCGAGAGATTGCAGGCTTTATAGCAATGACGTGGCGAGCCATACTTTCGCGCAACTTAATCTACCCTAGGTTAGCAAGGCCTGTAATAATGTGGCTTGCAATACGATTGCTGCCGGCCTGAACTGACAAGTGTCCTGCTTGCATTATGCCATGGGCGATTATATTCCAGAAGACGAGCCCCTTAGCCTACTCAGCCTGGAGCCAACATCGTATCTAGCTAGAGGTCTTTGTCTAGTGTTATTGAAATCTTTTTCGTTGTTGATATTGAGTGTGAGGCCTAACCCAAAACACTCGTTGCTGTAACTATAACAGAAGCTTAACTCAAGGTTGTGGTGCCATACTGTGGGGTTGGTATTGCTACTTTTGGTGGGTATATGCCTGCATTAGGGCGATTATCTATCTATTGCACGGACGACCAGTTGGCTGTATGATCGTTCTTTCTTTCTTTCGACGACACTTGTTAAATCATCACATCATCTCCCCACCTTTCCATGTGGCTGTTGGACCAATATCCCAATAATGAACCTTGGGTCTGGACTTTGACGACGACGGGGGAAATGGACCGTTGGGTGTTAGGACACTACGGTAACGATCACACCTGGGGTTATCATCGCACAATTCTCTTGTTCACTTTGTCGTCATCAGATCAGCCCAAATCTTGGATCTGAAGGCTCGAGAAATTTGGTTCATCCCTGTCCATCATCATATCATGAGCGTCGTGGATCCATGGTTGTGACTGTGGCTAGTGCGAGCGTCCTGCACACCCCGCAATCCAGCACCCAATACGCACGGCCGGATGTTCGGCCAACAAAATCGCTCTAGCTTGTCCTAGATAGATTGGAAGGGTTGTCCTATCGTGCCATCTTCCTTACCTCAACCGTCGAAGCACAAGGGGCTGCTGATGGTGTCGTCGATGTTGGTGACGGTTGAATGGATTCATAATCTTAACTGAAATTTGATCGGCTAGGTCGGAAAAGTCAACGAGGATTTGAACATAGTGGAAATGGCAGTTGTGATGACAATCCCGGATACATACTTAAGAGGCTTCACTGTACCGGTCATCAAGACAATTTCCTCAGCAGCATCATTCCGATCAGGCAAGGACTTGGTTACTTTCACTCGCTAGCTATTTCCTTCGTTCATTCGCTCCTTGTTTCTATTTTCACCGCTCCACTAGTTTTCAAATTCATTGCCGGTTAAAACAAACATCGCTTCCGCACTGCCAAGCACAACCTTCACCATGATTCCCGGTCATGTCTCCCACTACGGCATCGCCATCCTGGCCGCCTTCTCCGCCGCTGTGGACGCCAAGGCTTGCAAAGCCCGTCACCACCATCACCACCAAGGCAGGCCTGCGGACAACTCGACCGCATCCGTAGCCCTACCACCCCAGACAATGCCTCCTCTCCCTGCCACCACTTTGGCCACTTTCGTCCAGGCCTCGACGCAATCCTCCCAGGCGAACGCCGCCGAGTCCCCCGCCGTGACCTCTTCCGGCAACCCCTTGAACGCCGGGGTAGCTTCCACCACCACGTCGGCGGCGGTTGCTGCCCTGCAGACATCTTCGAGTGAGACTTTCATTGGCCTGGGCACCCGCTACGGCGGCGGCTGCACCGAGAAGGACTGCTGGGAGAACGGCGCCTGCAGCTTCGTTGGCTACGACCTGCCCGCCGGCATCGACGGGTCGACCTGCGTCTCGGACGACATCTGGAACAACGGTGCCAACTGCGGCGGCTGCATCTCTGTGACTTACCAGGGCAAGACTCTCAAGATCATGGTCAGAACCGACGGATGAATCCGAGCGCTGCGTTTCATTTCTTACTAACTTGCATGACATAGGTCACCAACCGCACCGGCGGCAACGCTACTCACCTTGACATGACTCCGGACACCTGGGCCAAGCTGACCAACGGGAACCCCGGCGGCGGCGTCAACGGCATCGAGTGGGAATGGATCACCTGTCCGTTCGCCGACTCCACTCCCCTCCAGGTCCACATGCACGGCGGCGCGTCCCAGTACTGGTTCGCGGCCACGATTGAGAATGCCACCCTCCGGACCAAGAAGCTCGAGGTCAGCAGCGACCAGGGCGCCACCTGGAAAACTGCTACCCTCCACGACCCCAACATGTGGGAGATCACCGGCACGCTTCCTAGCGCCACCTGCTGGGTGCGCGTCACGAGCGTCAACGGCGATGAGGTGGTTGTCAAGGACGTCGCTCTCCAGTCTGGCAAGATTACTAAAGCTACAGAGAACTACTGAGTTGAAGGGGGCGGCTAGAGAGTCTTTTGAGAGTGGCAATGAGTTGGATACTCGCGGGGCCTTACTATCTTTTCTTGGACAGCTAGAGGTTGTTTAGACTTTTATCACTTCTATTATAAATATATTTCTTGTTATAAACAGTCTTGTGTACAATTACAAGTTATACTCCAGGAATACACCTATATAAGACTAATCAATCTTTATCTAGTGGCTACTATGTAATGATGAGTGGTATCCACTTTATTCCCTACATCTAATTCCAAAGTTCTTTACTTGCTATGTTATTTAAGATCTTGAGGGTTAAAGTTAGAAACTTTACTTTCATAAATCTTATGCCGGTTTATTTCCTTGCTAGCTGTGTAGACGTTAGATGTTTCTTCACTCCAATATATATATTTACGTATATATAACTAGTTATGTAAATGCTGTTTGTATTTATTAGAGAAATAAACTTAACTTAGCACATGTCGTCAGCACTCCAAGCACCATGTTCTTGAAATGAACGAACGACACCTTTTTCACCGTTAACAATATCCAGGTCAAGAGCCTCGGTTAGGACTGTTTGAAGATATTCTGCAGTTTTTCCTTGGTGAAGACTTTGTTCGATAATGTCAAGCGACCCAAACCAACACACCATTTTTTCTTACGTAGTCGGAGGGGCCAGTCCAATCTAGTGCAGATACCAGTTGAGCCTTGCTATCCCCATCCGCAGCTAGGCCAGTATACTGGTTTCCTTCTATGAAAACGAGTCGTGCAGTTGCCGTGTGTTCTTTCCTAACAGGGCAGCATTGTCACTTTTTGAGACCTTTCCTGACTCTTCTAGTAACCTGCAGCACTTCTGTAGTCTCCTTAGTGCTTTTCTGAGTATTTCTCTATGTTTATATAAATCAGAAGACTTATGCCTTCTAATAAACTTATAAAGCAATTGTGTGTTGTATTTACTCTAATATAAGTGTAGGCCAATAGCTAGCTCTAGGAGAAACAGAGAAGGATGGCCCTAGTAGTCTAGAGCGTGAAATGAAATTTCATATACCGCCTATCCACGGGCAAAGTCTATGGAAAAAGTCTATGTCTCTAAAACACTGCGACTCTGACCCAAACTCCGTCTGATCTCAGCATCCTCATTCTGCTTCTTGACAATGTCCCATCCAGGCAGCTTGACGGCATGGTCCAGCGCGACGGGGAGGCCCCTATGTCTGCCTCGGATCATCATCATGATCATGACCAGCTTTGAACCCGTGTACCAGCCGCCCACGAAGCTAAACGAGTGGTCCGGCAGGCCTATGGACAGTCCGATGTTGGTGTATCCCGACACAATTTCGAATAAGAAGTTGAAGACGCTGTAGGAGCGCGGGTCAGCGATCGAATGGGACGTCTCGATTAGTGTGATTATGAATAGCGCCAAAGCGATGGCCCAGATATCGTGCGACAGCTGCCCTCGGAGGTGCTGCGACACAAGGCTCACGTGGCCCTCGGGCGTAGAGTTGGAGCCCAAGACCGCATTCGTGTAGTCAAAGTTGATGGCAGCAGACCGCTTCAGCCGCGGCCTCGTCGTCACACCCACGCCTTGGAAATCGTTCATTCTGTTCTGGATCTGCTTGCCCACGAAGGAGGTACCACGCCGGCCGATGTCGGCTATCTTCCTCACGGGTATGGCGGAAATGCCCGACTTTGCTTGTGACACGCCTGATGCGGAAATTGCTGTTCGCTCTGGGCCAAGGACATGGCCAGACGTTGGTCGAGATAGGAGGGGCCCAAAGGTTGGCAGGAGCTCGTCTGTCGACTCGTCTGGGTTTTCAGGTTTTTCAGGTTCCGTGGTGTAAATTCCTAGTGATCGTTCTTCGTACACCTTGAGTAGTGTTAGTTTGAAGGAGCAGATGGCTCAGCTAGGCTAACGATCGAACTTACATTTGAATTTCGCATCACGATAATCTCTGGATATGCGGAAATGTACATTACGATGACCCACAGGACCAAAACATCGAAATAGAGGCTTGACACAGGAACAACCGCGAAACCTGAGGAAGGGATGCCTGAAGGCAGGGCAGTCAGTCAGTCAGTCAATCTCTAGGCCAAAATGAAACCACTGTTAGGGACTTACTCAGTGCCTGGAAGACGGCCAGCCCAACACGCTTTCCAACCGGGTATGCCTCAATAGCAGAGTTGCCCATGCTGAGAACCAACAACAAGACCCAGTCCAAGGCCGCGATCGTGGAGAAGATGGTGACAAAAACAAAATTGGCCTTGGCAGGAAACATCATCATGTACAGACGACGAGGGTACTTCAGGATGAAATCGAAAGCTTCTTTCCAGACAGCGTACTCATCGGCATCAACAGAAATCTTCAAAACCAAGCTGCAGAAGTAGACGGTTGCTCTGAGAAACGCAGGGAACGCAGCATTTCCAGCCAGGGCAAGGATGGTAACAATGGTCAGGACGAAGGCGTCGTTGTCAAAGGCTGCCACGCCTGCGTCGAGGAGCGTCAACCCCGCGTTGTTGAATGAAGAGATGGCGAGAAAGATGCCAGCCCACCAAGAATTTTGAGAATTGACGGCCGTTATACTCTGGCTATGCCGGTACGACCACGCGCCAAGCGTGATGGCCCCAAGGAGTTGCCAGAGGGCGAAGTAGACGCAGACGATGGTAAAGAGAATCTTGAGGGCCCGGTATTCGACGCCACCCAGGTACTCACGCTGTTCCTCCGTGAGGTCGAAGAATTGGCCGTTCCTGCCGACTGAATTCTTGTTCTCGTGGATGAAGGTTTTGAAATCGAAGCCTTCTGAAAGGGACTGGAGGCTGTCGTCACGACTGAAAGGCCTCCGCCTGGCGGTGGTGGCATTCGACTTGGGCGAGAGCGGTTCGGTGGAGCTGGTGGAGGCGTCGAGCTTCTGGCCCTCCCCAATGGGCTCCAGCCTGCCAGATGGCGCAGACCCTTGTGTAGTGGTCTGGCTTTGGCTCCGGCCGTGGCCGTTGTCGCGGGACGTAAACCTCTTCAGCTGTAAAACGTCTGCCTCAGCCTGCCGCTCGTGTCTAGCCTTCTTTTGCTTCGACTTAGATCCCTTGAAGGACGACATAACAGGAAGACCGATCATGGCTCCAGCCATACCAACTATGGTGCCAGTTTTCTTGATCCTCAGGTTTCGTTCGGCCTCGACGATATCTGCAAAACGCTTCTCAAAGACGCGAGTGCGGAGCCAGATGGTGAAGATGGAGACGAAGACGGGGCTACCAAGAACCATCATCAGGGCCATAATAGCCTGCTGGGCGGTACTGAGTTTGCTGATATCGACCGTGTTGAGGCCGGATGTGGTGAAGGCGGAGATGACGAGAAACAGGCTATCGATAAAGCTGACACTGTTGGCCGGGTTCGAAAGCCCGTGGAAGATGCCGGCAAAGATGAGCCCAGTCAGTATGAAGTAGGCGTAGTGAACGGTGATGAAGTTAACCGGAGGCAGATACGGCCGAACGGCGGCCCATGATTCAACCATGCAGTCCGCCTTGGCGGGATGGTCGGCCTTGAACTTCTCCCATGGGTGGTGCCATGCCATCGCCGCCGATGTTCGCCCAGTAGTGGTACTGTGCGCAAGTGACGCGAGCAGACAATTACACTGGGAGCTCCTCGTAATGCGCTGGTACTCGGGATAGGATAAAGAGGGGATAAGGCTTGAAGGAGGAGAGAAGCTTGGAAGGATTGTCGGAGCATCGCATTGCTGATGCCCAAACCCAACTGATAAGAATGCGTTGTGCTTCCCCCTGATCGACTGCAGGGGGGCAGTCATGGCGCACCATTGCGTGGTTAGGGAATGGTATCCGATTGGCAGTTTGCAGGGGCGGCTTGTCTCGGGCCCACTCGTGCTAATAACAGCTCATTACCCGTGAACAGGGTCAGGATATCATTGGACCAGGTAAGCTACCTGTTTCATAGGGTTCCAGGTCTTGCTACCAAGGTCGTAATCTATTTATCAGATTGAATAGGGCCTAAAGCTATCAAATCACCTCTATATGCTATAAAAGTAGAGGCGCCCCCATTAAGGGATACTGCTATATGTAGGTATTAGTGTGCTAGGTATACTGTCACTCGAATACATAAGACAGAGCGCTACACTAACATTGCCACACTACACTGCACCTGTCTGCAGCAGTGGCGGGAGACGACAGCATGCAGTTTAACGGCGTGGCCTACTTGAAGTATCAGAAGGAACCTGCCAAGCCCTTTGTGGCCGCGACGAAGGGCAAATTGGCTAAGTATTCTAGGTGTTGGCATGTCTGGGCTGATGTCATCTATAAGTCTAAGTTGCCGGCTCCCTTTAATACCTAGGCGGCTTTCCGCGAAGGCCAAGTGTGATGCAAGGGGAGACGGAGAGGAAGCCAAATGATCTATTTTACAAGACCCTGTAAACGTTCGGCGTCTTATTACACCTGTCACTGTGATCAGCGCAAGCAACACATATCATCCGCTTTTGTCTTTGGGTCAGCACCTCATGGGAATCCATCTACCGACGCCGGCGATGATTTACGGAACAAAGCCCCGGAACTGCTGGTCAGCTCGAACTCTGTGGGTAAATGTTTTCCAGTGTCTCGGAACCATTGCAAGGAGATGGATGCTGGCGAGTGGGTTGTCATCTTCTCGGCCTAGAACTCTTTCCGCCTCCTGTACCACGTCTCATTGTATACTCTCTGCCGCAAGTTACTCTACATAACGGACGAATACGGCTGCGAGTCCGCCCTTACTAGTAGGAGTGCTATAATGAATGCTCTGCCCCAAACACCTCGAGCGGTAGGGGCCGGTGCCTTCCGGCCCGAGTACCCCACCTGCCTCTTTAGGAGCTTTGGCCACCTGCCATTGGCCTGCCTGTGCCTGCCACAAAGGTTGTGACCTTTGCCCTCTCACAGAATGTGTGGTTTGCTAGGTACCTTCTGGCTTCCTCCTCTTCAACCGTTCTTCCCTTGGGCCATCAACGCCTTCGAGATGGTCGTCCCAAGAAAGAAAATAAGATGTCAATAGTCAAGCCGTGGTTAGTTAATTATATGATGGCTTGTCGCGAGGATACCGTGTGTCATCAGGCAACCAACGTAGAATGGTCATGGGCGTACGTGGGCTTAGGCAAAG